TAGAAAATTGAAGTGGTCCACCTCTCTGTATTTAATACGTCTGAGCATACATGCATCTGTCATTACAACAACTTGACTAGAATCTCAATCGCTCCAAACTTTTCTTTAGACAAAACGTGGGTTGGATCTTCCACCACATCTCCACATGATCTCTACTCTATCAATTCAGAGTGCATAAGAAACCTTACATCAAGGGATGATCTCTGTCCACTCAATTCTGAGACCATATCTCTAAACCCTAGTGGGAGTTCTTCGGTTTTACATAATGGTTATAGAGTTTAATTTACATGAGATGAACTAGATAATTATAGATTTTATGTCCTCTAAGGCTTGTCTGCCATAAATTTCCACTACTGAACATGCTTCTTCAGCTTGGTTTGATAACTTCACGCTATAAACGTCTTTTTTTAAAAAAAAAAATATTCTTACAAGAGTGTTACTTGATATATAACTAACTAAATTTCAAAAAAGAAAAAGCGTTTATAACATGAATTTAATTAAAAAAAAATATGACATATCAATTTATATCAATTCCATTGATTTTAAGTTTTGGGGATCTGCACAATGGTTTCGGAAAGTTGGAATATTAATGGTAAAAACTAAATATCATAAATTCTCTTTTTGAATTTTTTGTGCTTTCTTTCTTTTTTATTTATTTATTTATGTTTCTATAGTCTAGAACTTTTGATTTATATCATATTATTCAGTTATAAAATTGAGCTAGTGACTATTGTTAGGAGATCGCATAGTTGAAACATACTTTTGAGATAAATAACATAGGAATAAAATCATACCACATAAAGAGACACAGTATTTATGTGATTCAGCATTACCTGCTTACATTTACGGATGAGAGAAATTCAGTATAGTTTCATGAACACAATGTATAAGAGTACACAATACACATAAAACAAAGCTAAAACAATCACGTTCAACCAAGTATTTAGAGCGGAAACAATCTTAGTTTTTAAGACACTCTCTCCATGGTGTTTAATAACTCTTACATCAAATATTATGTGGTCTCACATTCTCTCATAATCTTGAATTGGTTCTCACCTCTATATTTATAGGTAGTATATGGAATATTCTTTTCCTAATAGGATTCATATTCTAATTCTTAATAGGACTTCTAAATTATATTCCTATTTACAATTGTATTCTTTATTAAATAATTTTCCCAAAAACATACAATTTCACATGAAAATAAATAGGAAAGTAAGCCACAATATCTCAACATCTTAGTTTAATCAAATAATGAATTAATTGGATCTAGTTATGTTGATATTGTTTATTGGAATTTGGAAACTTAAAAAGAAAAAAAAATTACTATTAAACTTTTGGATCATACAATTGTGAGGTTGAAATATTTAACGTGTAGAATGTGGCAATAATAAGAATCTTCAAATAAATTAAATCCTTAAAATTGAACCAGAATTTATTTGCTTATATGGAAAATTCTTAGCCATAGCTTTGACCATATTATTTATACTACTTACTAGCCAAATTAAGTTGAATTAGTCGGAAATTATGAGTTGTCAATTTAATAAAACAATAGAAAATTGCAATTAGTGTGGCGTTGAAGCCCATGCAGATACCATTGACGTTTCGTTATCAATTTAAATATCTTAAATGACACGTCCTTCCATACCATTTCCATCTCATGTTAAGCTATAGATCAAATTTTTTTGTATAATTAGAGCCCAATTAGTCGAGTTCATGAAAATTAGCAGGTGTTTATAAGGTAATTTGAGTTTATAAGCATTTGAAATTTAAGCAGTTATATGTTTAGTTAAAATATTTATAAGTGACTGATAAATAGTTGTCACGTTTGGTAAAATACAGTTTATAAGTATATTTTATTATTAAAATAACTAAAAAGGGTACTACATTATTTTATTAAATGATAAATTATATTAACTTAATTTTTTACTATAATATTATCAAAATATATTTCGATCTTATTACAATATAATTTAATTTTAGAATTAAATAAACAAATACTTTATAGACAAATGCTTTATTAAAAATTTATAAGAATAATTTTTAGATTCTTTATACAAAATAAACTAATGAACAAATATAATGAATTATAATTATATTCAAAAAAATAAAATTTCTATAAAAAATAAATTTATAATTTTTAGAAGCATGAGTTGTTTGAAATATTAAAATAAGGTTATATGATAAAATTTAAAAATTAAATAAAGGTAACGTGGTAATATATTTTGTCAATGTAACTTATAAATGGAGTGCTTATAAGCTTTCAAAAAAAAAAAAAAAAAAAGTTGGTTTCCCTAACTTATTTTTTTGGCTTATAAGTCTAAAATATTTTAAACAAACAGGTCAGCTTGATTTTAGAGTTTATGAGTTGGTTTGTTATACGCTTAGACAAACACATTTTTTATTTACAACCGAATAAAATGCTTCTTATGTAAGATCTGACTGATTTTTTATAAACCAAAGTCATATTAATTAATTTTTATTGTAAACTCCTCTAGATTATGTACGTTTACTTGTTTACTATCGAGCAATAATACTTTCCTACATTAGTTAATATGTGACCAACCAAGGCCAAAAAAGAAAAAAAAAATGTGACGAACATTAATAAACAATTTTAATAAATAAACGTCATTTTTTTTCTTTTTTCTTTTGATTTTATATTTTTTAAAATTTTAAAATAAAAATGGCTGTCCTTTCTTTTAAACAAAATGTTTTTTTGTCAGCTTTTAATTTAATTCTAAAACCTGCTTTTCTCTTTTTAATTAAAATTTTTAATTATTTATTATTTTCTTATTATTTTTAATATTTACACTTCGAAATCAAATAATTTTTTTTATACTTTTAATTGATTTTTTTAGTTTTTAAATTTAAAATTGAAAGACTAAAACCAAGTAAATAACTAGGGGTATCTAAGTTTTTCTATTGTTTTATGTTAAAATTATCTGCAAGTGTCCATAGATTGAACAAAGTTATTTAGTGTTCAAAAATTGAACAAATTGAAATTGGTGTCCGTTTTTTCCTTAAATTGAACAAAAATACTTAGTATCTCTAAATTGAACAAATTGAAACTTGTGCCACTTTTCTCAATTCAAGAAAAAAATTGTACCTAAATTGATAATATCCCTCGTTCAAAAGCTAAAATCTTTTATAAAATGAGGGTTTTCATTTAAATGGCATTGATAACTTCTCCCTAATCCCTCAATTTGCGTAAATTTGATTTCATCATCTGTAATATTGATTATAGTGGAATAGAAGCTCATTTAGGGTGCAACACAAAATGTTTTAAAAAGTTTATCAGATAATTATTAATGAAATAATCTAAAAATACTCAAATTGTTAATTATTTTTAACTAAAAAAATGTTACTATTTTTAATATTTTAACAAAATATATACCAAATTTTAAACCAATCAAGGACATGATTTGACCATCTAAAAATATTTTTGGTATTGCAAAAACCCCCTGTTGACTATTATACATATGATGTGGCATGAAAAATCTTCTTGATATAGTTTGGGCATTCAATTATATAACATAAATAAGTAATCAAGAAGTTAACATTTAACCACTCTATATTTATTTTTTATTAGTGATTGAATAAAATTCTCCTCTGGAAAATTCTACAAATGTCCCCAACAATCAAATAAAAAAATATCCCAAATAAATAATTTTATGTAGTTGGGCATCCAATTATATAAATAAGTAACCAAGAAGTTAACATTTAACCACTCAATATTTATTTTTGATTAGTGATTGAATAAGACTGTTTCCTGCTAGTCTTTACTACCAGTCTTACTTTACATTCCTCTATTGACCAAATCTCTTTTACATCAATTATTTTTTATGCTAATTACGGTCATACTTCAAACAAATAACTATAGTTGATTTCATAATCCAATTCCCATTTTGCATGTCACACTTTCTCGGAAACTCCCTCTTTTTTCTTATACATGTATTTCGCTCATACAAGTATTATTATATGTTACTACAATATTATATTTTCAGATTCTGACTAATATGTCGCTAATGCATTTGTACCCCTTTCGTAAGTTTATTGTGAAATCAATATTTACTCCATACTTGGAACATGCTATGTCAATGTTGTATATTATAAGTTCATCTTATTTTTCACTTTTATTATTGTCAGGGGCGATGCTACCCGTGCAGGTTCCAATAAAAAAATTTAATTTTATACATAAAATTATTTTTCACCACTTAAAATGTATTTTCTGGATGATTTATTTATTTATTAAAATATATAATGTAACCCCTCCAAACTTAATTTTTTGACTCTACCATTGATTATCATTGGTAGTTACAAGTGTATCATTGTAAAGAAACATTGAAACTTAATACCAATATTATAGACTTCCATCACTTAATTTATGTTATAAAATTTCTTAAAAATACCTAGAGGAAGAATAAGCATATTTATTGTCAACATGATCAAGGGGCAAGTTGCAGAAAATTTATGCATAGAATTTCTCAACAAAACAACAAAATTGGAATCGGAGACTTTCAAGCACCAATGTCTTGTAAGTTACAAGATCCTGACTATACACATGTATGGAGTTGCATTCACCATATGAACATTAGAGTTGTCACCTTCAGATCAAAATCTATTTCCATCAAACTCCATTCACCTGTTAGTACTAGAAAACTATGTGAACAATTAATTTGCCAATTAGAGCTACTATTATAGTTAGAAAATTGAAGTGGTCCACTTCTATATTTTTAAATTTCGTTGTTAAATTAGGAATGAATGCAAGACAGGGACCCTTTTAAGTCAAGTCTAATACGTTTGAGCATATATGCATCTGTCATTGATAGAGGATAAGAAAGATTAGTACCCACATCAAGAGGTTGCAGAAATTTTTATTTAGTGAGAGTGAAATTAGAGGAGGAAACTTTTCAAGCCTTAAATTATGTATTATGAGTTGCTTATATATATATATATAAGAGTTTCCAAATTATGATATGAGTTACATAATATAAAAAACAATGGGGTTGTCAAACTTGAAGAGAGTTTTTTCACTTGTTTCCCTAGTCTTGTTTGTTGTTATGTCACAATATTCTTCACTTGATGTCGCTTCTAATTCCACTCAAGAAGCATTGGCTCTTCTCAAATGGAAAGCCATGCTTCAAAACCAAAGCCATTCTCGTCTGTCATCATGGACTCTTTCTTCTGTGAATGCTATAAATACTTCTACCCACCTCAAAACCAAAATAAGCCCATGTACTTGGTTTGGAATCTCTTGCAACCATGCCGGAAGTATCACTAGTATTAACCTGACCAGTGCAAATTTAAAAGGTACTCTTCATGAACTGTCTTTTTCAATATTTCCCAATCTTGCATACATTGATCTAAGTCGGAATGAACTCTTTGGTTTTATCCCTGCTCAAATCGGTCACCTAACAAATCTAAACACCCTTTACCTTTCTGTCAATAAGTTGTCTGGCTCTATTCCTAAGGAAATAGGCAACTTGAAGTCCCTTTTGGATCTAGACTTGAGCGAAAATCAACTGAGTGGTTATATTCCTCCCTCTATTGGAAATTTGAGCAACTTAAGTGTTCTATACCTCTATACCAACAACCTTTCTGGCACCATTCCTATGGAGATAGGCCACTTGAAGTCCCTTTCGGATCTAGAATTGAGCCACAATCAACTGAATGGCTCTATTCCTCCCTCCATTGGAAATTTGAGCAACTTAAATGTTCTATACCTCTATGCCAACAACCTTTTTGGCACCATTCCTATGGAGATCGGCAACTTGAAGTCCCTTTCGGCTCTAAAATTGAGCCACAATCAATTGAATGGCTCTATTCCTCATTCCATTGGAAATTTGAGCAACATTAAATATTTGTATCTTTCTTATAACAATCTTTTTGGTTCAATCCCTCATGAGATTGGAAATCTCTTGAAGTTGATTACGTTAGTGTTGTCTCAAAATTACTTCACTGGTTCTCTTCCTAGTAATATTTGTCGAAGTGGATCACTTAGGCACTTTGGCATTGGTGAGAACCATTTGCTTGGCCGTATCCCCAAATATTTGAGAAATTGCACAAGCTTAATTAGAGTTCGCCTTCAAAAAAACCACTTCATTGGAAATATTTCTGAAGATTTTGGCATCTATCCAAATCTAAATTTCATAGATCTTAGTCATAACAAATTTTATGGTGAAATCTCATCTACTTGGGGAAAGTGCTCACAGTTAGGCACTTTAAATATTTCGGGGAATAATATTACTGGGAGCATCTTGCCTGAGATTCAAAACTCAACCGAACTACATGAGCTTGACCTTTCTTCAAATCATTTAGTTGGAGAGATTCCAATGGAATTTGGAAAGCTGACTTCTCTTAACAAGCTTATTTTAACTGGGAATCAACTTTTTGGTGGTATACCTCATGAAGTTGGTTTACTTACAGAACTTGAGTACCTTGACTTGTCAATAAATAGATTAAGCAAGTCAATCCCAGGAGATTTAGGGTACTTGTCAAAATTGCACTACTTAAATTTGAGAAACAATCAGTTTAACCTCGAAATTCCATTCCAATTGGGGAAGCTGTTTCAACTGTCGGAACTAGATTTGAGTCATAACTTACTCAAAGGAGAGATACCATCTCAGTTATGTAACCTGGAGAGTTTGGTATATCTGAATCTTTCCTACAATAAGCTTTCTGGCCTAATTCCAACTTGTTTTGAAGATATGCATGGTTTGTCAAGTATTGATATATCCTACAATGAGTTAGAAGGTCCAATTCCCAACAACACAGCATTTCGAGATGCTCCCATTGAAGCATTACAAGGGAATAAAGGATTGTGTGGTAATGTAAGTGGATTGACACCTTGCAAGGCTCTCATATCACACAAACATGTCACAAGAAAGAGGTTGATAATCTCCTTTCTTGTTTCAGGAGCACTTGGTCTTTTAATTGTGGTGACTTTAATGTTCTTTTGTTTTCGAAGAAAAAAGCAAGAGTTACCGAAACAACGTAGAAGTGTGAACAAGGATGAAATTCTTTCGATATTAAATTTTGATGGAAAAATAATGTATGAAGAAATCATGAGTGCAACAGAGAATTTTGATGCCAAGTATTGCATTGGGAGGGGTGGATTTGGAAGTGTTTATAAAGCACAGCTTCTACCAGGGGCTATTTTGGCAGTAAAGAAATCTCACTCCCTTCAACCTGATGAGATAGAAGACCAAAAAGAGTTTTTAAATGAAATAAGGGCATTAACAGAGGTACGACATCGAAACATTGTGAAATTTTTCGGTTTTTGTATACATTCTCAACACTCTTTTTTAGTTTATGAGTATCTTGAAAGAGGTAGCTTGGCCACATTCTTGAGTAATGAAGCTACAGCAAGAGGATTGGATTGGGGTAAGAGAGTAAATATTTTGAAAGGTGTGTGTAATGCCTTGTCCTACATACACCATGATTGCTTCCCACCAATAGTCCATCGGGACATATCGAGCAAAAATGTGTTGTTGGATTCAGAATATGAAGCTCATGTTTCTGACTTTGGAATTGCCAAATTTCTCAAGCCAAACTCATCTAATTCGACACAACTTGCAGGCACATACGGATATATTGCCCCAGGTATATATAATTCATTTGTTATTGTCCTGATTATTTTGTTACTTACATAAAAAAAAAAAAAAAAGTTATGAAATATGATCTCATCATTTATCTTTCACTTTGCAGAACTTGCTTACACAATGAAGGTAACTGAAAAATGTGATGTATATAGTTTTGGAGTGTTAGCATTGGAAGTAATCAATGGAAAGCATCCAGGGGATATCATTCATACTCTATCCTCTCCTTTCACTTGGGAGGACTTGTTGCTAAGCAATGTTTTGGACGAACGCCTTCCACTTCCTCCACCTACTATTCAAGATCAACTGATAGCAATAATAAAGCTAGCAATTGATTGCTTGGATTCCAATCCAAAATCTAGGCCAACCATGAACATGGTTTCTCATATGTTTTCTGCCATAACAAAGCTTCCCTAGATGCCTTTAGACAATCAAACCAAGGCAATTGATTGTGAGTAGAAAGTCTTCAAGCTTGCAAAAGAATAAAATAATTTGTGTCGTTTCTCTTTTGGTTAATTGTATGCATTTAGTTTCTTAGGCATTTTTTTTTTTTTTTTTTTTGGGTTTTAATCTTTATGTATTATCATGCTTTCAAGAGGTAAGGCTCATTACGTCCCCCTCTTTAGGTGTATTTGATTTCCTTTTTGTTTAATAAAACTCCCTCATTCCGTTGAGGTTTTATCAAAAATAAAATTTTGGAAGAAGAAGTACATGTGTAACTTGCTTGAAAAAACTTGTAAAAAATATTAAAATATGTTTAAAAATATCATATACTAGACCAAAGAATTTAATGTATCTAATTTACTACCTAAGTTTATGGAAAAATATATGTATAGGCACTTAGTGTTGAAAAAAGATTTTCACAACTCAAACACAAAATTAAAGCAAGCAACTAAAAATAATGAAAACCAAACACAATAATTTTAAATTGGTTCGGCCTAGTCAATTTAGCCTACATTCACTATCCACTCAAAGAATCCATTAAACAAAAGCTTACAATTGTGCAATTTTTAGAAGAGAAAAATTGCAAATTCCTTACACCATCCAAAAAGCCCAATTACATCCTTAATAACAATCCACAATCACTATTCTTTTAGTGTCCATCTTACACTTTTTGAGATACATTAAAAGTCCAATCTATTAATCTATTTAAAGAAGAGAGTCCCCTTGCAACTCCCATTCCCAAGCAATATGGGATTCAAGGCACTATCTCAACAATTCCTCCCTTGGCTTGAATCCCCAAACATCACATTAGTATCTAAAAACCATACTCGGATGATAGTCTTCTTTTCTTTCACAATGGGAATTGGAACAACTTTATCTCTTGATTTCTTAAGACACACACCTTCATCAAGCAAATATAGTTGTTTTTCATTCTTTTTGCCTTGCAAAATCAGAACATCATCTTTATACACTTCACATCCATTTCTTTGACCAATGTAGGTATATCCACGAGAAGCCAACTCACTCAAAGAAATCAAATTGTGACTACAACTCAGTACACACCTCACATGACGAAGATTCTTGACAACACCATTGTGAAGCTCGAGACAAACACTACCAACACCTTCAATCTTCACTTTCTCGTTATTACTGGCAACAATATTTCCATAATTTCTATCTTTTTTTTTCAATTCAATAAAACAATTTTTATCATTACAAACATGCATGGATGTAGCAAAATCTAAAACCCAACCTTTTTCACCCTTTTAAGTTTGAGTTCATCTTGACATGTTACTAAAAATTCACCTTCTTTATCAACAACCCAAGCATCATCATTCAAATCCTTCATTTGTCTGAACCTTCTTGAAAGCAAGCATATCCTCCCTTAATTTCTTGCAGCATTGTTGGATATGTCCCTTCTCTCCACAATAATAGCACCCCTTATTACCATAATCTCCGACTTTTGATTTAGATCTCCATCTTGATTCATCACCTCTCTTTTGAGTCCTCCCTCAATTAGAACCTTCTGCAACTAGTAATCTCCTTTAAGTGACGAGTTCTCTGATCCCACAAACCTTTTATTCTCGCACAACAAGGCAATCACATCATCTAATTTAAAAGTAGATCTACCTACTAACAAAGTTTGAACTAAGGGTCTATAATATTTAGGCAAAGATGACAACAATATCAATGTCTGGTCTTCATCCTTTAACTCGTTAAAAATAGCCAACAATTGAGATACTAGCCTATTAAATTCATTTAAATGATCATGGAGACTTGTACCTTCATCCATCTTCAGAGAATATAGATCCATCTTCAAACACAGTCTTTTAGTCAAAGATTTCAATGCATAAATGCCCTCCAATTTTTCCCACAAACCCTTTGAAGTAGACTCAATGAGCACATTGTACTTTATCTCTAGAGTTAAACCCAATCTGATTGTAATGACAGCTCTCCTCTGAATTTTATTCCATTCTCTATCAAACATCTTCTTTGGCTTATTCTCTTCTAATGTTTGATCAAGACCTTGTTATACCAAAAGGTCTTGTATCGTACTTTTCCATAACATAAAATAAATTTTACCATCAAATAAAGGAACCTCAAACTTAGATATGCCTCCAGAAAATTTAAGATGCTTGACAGTCGCTGATCTACTCTTAAATCCAACCTCCTTTCAAGCTTGCCTTCTCTTTGCCTTCTCCCAGATCACGAACCGTGGGCTCTAATACCATTTGTTGAAAAAGATTCCCACAACTCAAACGCAAAATTAAAGCAAGCAACTAAAAATAAAGAAAACCAAACACAAAAATTTTAAAGTAGTTCAGCCTAATCAATTTAGCCTACGTCCACTATCCACGCAAACAATCCACTAAGCAAAAGCTTACAACTATGCAATTTTCAGAAAAGAAGAATTGCAAACTCCTTAACTATCCCAAAAAGCTCAATTACACCTTTAATAACAGCCCACAATGACTTTTTTTTTTTTTTTATGTCTATCTTACACTTGTTGAAATACTTTAAAAGTCCAATCTATTAGTCTATTTAAAGGGGAGAGTCACCTTGCAACTCCCACTCCCAAGCAATATGGGATTCAAGGCACTATCCCAATACTTGGTAGATGCATTATAACGCAAGCCGAGTTTACAGGGTGGAACCTCATTTCCACATTCATCTCTAATCATTTTAAGATTTATATTATTTCAGCATAAGTTAGTCTTTAAAATGAACTTGAAACCAGCTACCAATTGCAAACTAAATAAAATGATAGCAATAAGTTTAGATTAAATTATTTAAAGTTAAGTTAAACACTAAAACAAACAATAATTTCTTTCAAATTTTAAGAAGTCTGAATTGGAAAATGAGAAAAAGAGATGTATAAGAAAAAAAATTAAGTAATCTAACATGATGTTTTTATTGTTAAGTGATGTCTAAAAATATACTTTAAAATATAAATGAGATGTATTTAATAATGGAATAATGATGTTATATGAAGACTGAAATTAATTTCTCTTTATGTTTGGGGTCCAACGAAAATGGAGATAAAATTGGGTCCAAATGTGGTGCTCAAGTAAATTGGGAGTAGCTCTGAAGCTGAAGTGAGCTTGAAGATGTGAACTGAAATCTCCTAAAAATTGAACTTTTCTTTTAAACAACCTTCAGAATCCCAAAAATAAGTATTTTTTTATTTCTGTTCTTAAATTTCAGATTTAATTTCTACATCTAACATATTACAATATCTTTGGAATTATATATTTTTTCTAAATCTTAATCTCCTCTTCCTGTCATGCAAAAGTTTTTATTATAAAAGACTTTTGATTGTTATTACGTTTCTCTATGAACGAAAATTAACTAATTTTCTAACATAATTTAAAGAATCATTCTAAGAGAGAAAGTAAAAGAACAAGAAAATTCAATTCCTTAAAAACTAATAAAATTTAATAACTGACCATCAAATTGATTGTTTTGACATGTATTCACTTATGAATTTTTTTATTCAAAATAGAAAATATTTCTAACTAAAATGAATATTTGGGGGGAAAAAGTATTTCATGGAGAGTAGTTAGAAAAAGACGTATTTTAGACCTGATAAAAGGAGTCTAGACCCACGGGTTGATCAGCATCTGGATAAAAAATATAAGGTACGAATCTTATATATTAGACCTCTTTTTTCAGACCCATACTCGCGCTCGACCCGTTTTGCCAGCAGGTGAGACAGGTTGACCTTTTTGGGGGGTGGGTCTTGGTTACCCTTTTATTTAAAAAAAAAAAAAAAAAAAAAAAAAAACTATTTTGGAATTGAAATCCCTAACCCTAAACTAAGTCCCTCATCTCGACATCTCCTCTCTGGCTCTCTCACATTCACTCACTCTCGTCTCTCACTGTCAAACCGTCGCCGTCCACCGTCAACATCTCCTCTGTCAGACTCTCACACTCACCGACTACTGCTTCTCTACTTTCTCTTCTCTGCTAAATCGATTCTCTTCTTCTTCTTCTTCTTCTTCTTCTTCAACTATGTACTCCCAAGTCTTCAGCTACTGATCCATAAGGTTTAACCAGGTAAACCTTTTTTCACTTTACTATCGTAGCTTCTCGCTTCCAAGATTTATTGCTCTGTCACTACTTTGCTTATTTCTTGTTGCTTATTTCTTGCTTTTCACTTCATGCTTTGTGTTTTTGTTTGTCGCTGGAGAAAATATAAGAGAAATAAAATATGTGGATGTTATGGGTTTATGTTGGATGTGTAGTGATGTGTTTAGAGTACTGCTGTTGGGGTGTGTCGGTGTGTGTTTGGCTGCTGTGTTTGGATGTAGATACGTACCTAGTATTCATAGTATTTTCTTTAATTAGGGAGGCTTACAAGATTATTTTGAGTGGGGGGGTGAAACCACCTTGTATATCGTAGACGACGTAGAGAAATGGTGGGCAGTTACAAGATTATTTTTTTTTTGGCTTTAATGGTGGAGAAAGCAGGGAAATTAGGTATGGTTTTGAAGTAAATGAAGATGTGGGAGAGGGTGAAATAACAAAGTGTACAGTCAAAAGGGAAAAAAGGGAGACGGGATAATGGAATTGAATGAATTTTTAATTTTTAATTTTAATTTGTTTTATAAATTTGATGGGATTGGATGGTTGAATGATGCCACTTTAAACATATAAAAAGATGAGCTTAGGTAGTGAGAAAGAAAGAAATGGGGATGTGAAGTGAAGTGAAGTGAAGTGAAGTGAAGTGAATTTAGAGTAGTTGATTGTGTGGTTGTAATTATAAAAAATAAAAACTGCAGAAATTTTGGGGGTATAACTGCAAAAACTGAAAATTGGAGTGAGAAAAACGGGTATCTGCGGGTCCATCTGTGAAGTGAAGTGAATTTAGAGTAGTTGATTGTGTGGTTGTAATTATAAAAAATAAAAACTGCAGAAATTTTGGGGGTATAACTGCAAAAACTGAAAATTGGAGTGAGAAAAACGGGTATCTGCGGGTCCATCTGTGAAGTGAAGTGAATTTAGAGTAGTTGATTGTGTGGTTGTAATTATAAAAAATAAAAACTGCAGAAATTTTGGGGGTATAACTGCAAAAACTGAAAATTGGAGTGAGAAAAACGGGTATCTGCGGGTCCATCTGTGAAGTG